ATATATATATATATTATAACAACATGAGGAGGGTTTAAACGAGGTAAAAGTATTATACCACTTATTAACTTTATATTAAATGTGAATTTTATAAATTCAATCATTGAATTATAATTTCATGTCACTTTATATGTTTATATCAAATTTTGTTAAAATTGAACAACAACTTGAAGGTAATCAAAATATTCATATTTTATTATATTTTGAAATGTATATTTTATGTTAATTTTGATTTATAAAAATAAAGTATCAAATCATCTTAAATTAATATAAAATTTTGTATATATGATTTAAGAATAAAGAACAGTTAAATTTATAAAATTCAAATTTAATATAAAATTATTGAGCAGTATAATATTTAATATAATATTTAATAATATTTAATAACATTCCTTTGTTTTTCTAATCTATAAAAATCAGATATGCTACCAGAGAATTTACGATACTCACACCTTTTCACTGAATATTCGTTTGTTTTTTAATGCCCGAACCTCGAACAGTAACACAGCTACCTCTTTATAAAAAATAAATAAATAAATAAATAAAAACATGGTTTCCACGTGATCATTATCATATAGTACATCTAGTGACAAATTTATAGCATTCCTGTGTTTTTCCTGTCGAAAGTTAAACCCATGAAATCAACTACTTACTTAAAAAAAACATGGTTCCCCAAGTCATCATTATCATATATATATAGTACATCTATTGACATTTAGATAATATATATATATATATATATATATGGAAATTATTAATAAACATTCATTGTTTTTTTGTATACATAGAGAAAAGAGAGAAAAGTATAACTATAATAGGTAATATAAAATGATAAGAAGAGATAAAGAAATATTATAAATTACCTTTTTATTATATTTTTATATAAAAAAAATAAAATTATACATATATTATACTTCAAAAAAATTAAAATTCTATGGGTAACATGCATTATTCTTGGTACCAGGAATGTCAAAATGATCTAATCGAAAGACCAACTCAACTAGTCCTAAGTATGGGTTAGGCTAGCCTAATTTAAGTCTGAATATATTTTAGCTCAATTTAATCATAAAATTTATTGGCCCAAACTAGATTAGTACACGATAATACAAGCCAGGTCACCTTGTTGGTCTAATTCATTTGTATATCAAGTAAAATCATAAATGATAAATTTCATAGCACATATTGTTAACAATCATTTTCAATCGGTTAATATAAACGTACATCACGAGTTTTGTTTTTAATTTCTAGCATGTGTTTATTATTACAATTAAGACACTACATTTTACTATTTTAAAATACAAGTGCTAACCCTGTCAAAAAAAAAAGTACAAGTGTTAACGATTTTTTTTTTGTTAGTTTATATTAGTTAAGAAATAATTTATTAGTTTACTATATAAAAAATAATTTGTTTTAATTTTTATATAAAAAATTGTGCAACCACCAAAATTTCAGTTTAACATTATCTTAATCGAACTCAACCTAACCCAAAAATATATAAGTCTGTGGACCACCAGTCTAAATGTCATGTCTGACCCAAATTGACATTTTAGATGGTACATACTGATATTTGAACTTTAATTTTGTGAATACAAAATTATAACATATTATTGAATAAATATAAAAAAAAAAATGAGAGTATAATAACTTCCTTTTTTTATGAGATCCAAGCAAATCATATAAAAGACTTGAATAAGAAAAAATCATAAACCTTAATTCAGAGATCTCATTGGATATGAATTGAACATTTAGAAAAGAAAAAGACATCAATTTAGTTAATGTTATAGAGAGGGTACTTTCTTTTTTATTTTCAAGTACTTTTTTGGAGAGGGCTATTGAAACAAAGGCAAATGAGAGTAACTCACCAGCAGCATCTGCAATCTGAGTAGTCTGTCCTATGAACTTCAATATGGGAGGTGACCAAACATAAAGAGGTACCGAAATAACAGCAGTAGTGACCACAATGAGCCATGATCTCTGCATATACACTCCCAACATCCTCATCTGACCAGCACCATATGCTTGCCCACACAGAGTCTCCAAAGCACTCCCCATACCCAACTTGTCACAACAAAACATATTGCAAGTAAACATTAATCCATCAATTTCACATACCAACTGAATATATATTTAATCAAAACCATTGCCATTATGAAAACAAAGATTAAGTTTGGGCACCAATATACCATGATTCCATAGGCAAGCCCAGAAATAACATTATTTTCAACAGAAACTGCTGCAAGATCTAGCTCACCAACAAGGCCAGCAAATGTTAGGGTGAGTGCACCAAGAGAGTACTGACATATAGAAGTCAGAATAGCAGGGCCTGCTAGTATCCATAGCTTTTTTGACTCAAATCCGAATCTCTGGACCAAGTTTTGTGGCTTCTCCTTCTTAACATGACTAGAGTTGCCACGGTTATCCAGTAGTGAAGATTCCATAGGAAATGTTAGTGTTTAATGTCTCCACTGAATGAGCACCTCCTTGCTAGCTACTATAATAAGTACTCGTGGTAGGATTGTCATCAGAAATTATTATTAGGTAGTTGAAATATTTGTGCTTCTTTTGATGTAGGAGATTTAAGTTTAATGTAACTGTAATGTAAAATGAAGATTGTTTCTATTTATAAATTCCTTAATTACTTTATTTTTTGATTTCATAATAAATTTGAATCCGAATATCATTGTAATTCTGATTAATTGAAAAAAGTAACCGCCTAATGATTTATCGTGTACCACGTTTTTGCCCTACTCACATGCCATTGCCTGCTGGGCTCAGATATTATGACAGGAAATTGCTGGTCTCAATCTGGAATATAAGCATGATCCACGCATGTAAGGACATTTTTGGACGATAGCAAATCTCTCACAAATTAATGAAGGATTATTTCTCTCGCAAATATCTTGCAATTCGATAAAGTGAAACCTATGTCATAGTAGCGATTAGTAAGTCAATCAATACAATAAAGTTTACCAAAATAGAGTACGGTAAACAAGAAAGCATAATAAAGCACAATAAAGATGTCAATGTGATTGCCTAGGAGTTGTTACGCTGCTTCAAGATCGGTAACCGGATAGGGACTACCTGCATAAACACTATAATGTCATTCGTCGTGTTAAGCGAATGTTAGCTCTGGACTGGGTAGTGTACATAAGCCATATCTCTCGAGAGATAAATTTAGTAGCTCATACACTTGCTAGCTGGGGTGTACGGAACCTAGGTTCCGCTGTATTTTGGAGGAGTCCTCCAGACTTTATCCTGCTTTCATTAGGGAGAGACTCTATGTCTTGATTTTGTCTGTTCGTTTTAGTTTCATATTTTACCAAAAAAAAAAAACTCCTATCAACACAAAACAAAATAAAGGAATGAAACGCAAATAAAAGAAAATGAATCCAAACAAGAGGAAAATAAAAAGATGCACCCCTCAAAAAGTTGAAATTCACATTTACATTTAAAATCTTTGGTTAAAGATTTCATATTGGCTAATTTCAAAAATAATAATTTTTTTTAGTATTTAGTGTGATGAAATTACGGTACTTTTTTCTTTATATTATTTAATTTTATAGTTATTTTATTGATATTGTTTTATGCAGTCCGACCAAAGTTCAGGTATTAAATCCTAAATCAATGTTTTTATGGATTTAATAAACATTTTAGTTTTAAAAATATTGCTTCTAACTGTGAGACGATTACTTACTAACACTTTTATTCTCTTTAATTTGGATTTTTGTGCAATTTTAATCTCCTTATGTCTTTATTAAAGTTAATCAAGTCTTCTTATTTTAAAAATTAGGCAAATTTAATCCTTTATTGATTTTCTACTGCTTCATTTATATCATATTATTTTTATCTAAATATTTGAAGAATTGTGATGAATTTGGGATATTAAATTGTTTTAGAAGTTTAAAAGTAAGAAATTTAGAGAAAAATTGGAAGAAAAAAAATTAAAAGATTTTATAAGATGTATGATCATGATTTAAAGAGGCAAAATTTGTAATATTTTATATTTTAGATTACATTTGAATATTTTAGTTTCAAAGAAATTAATATGAATGAAATTTATTTAATTGATTCAATTTAAAAAATAGTAACGAATTTTAATCACTAAAAAAATAAATGAATAAAATGACATATTTTATCCTAATTGAAAGGATTAAAAAAGCAATTAAACTAATAATTTTCACTGCAAAATGCCATAATTATTGAAGGATTCCGAACAAATATGATCCATAATTAGCATATTAATAATGTGCTTGGAATAGTTCTCAAAATTAGATTACTTCATTAATAAATTAGATGAATAATTAATTATAATTTAAATAAAATTTTGATTAAATAAGTTTGGTGAAAAAAAACTAAAAAATTAATTTCATTTAAATATAACAAAATAATCAACTTTTGTATAAGAAATCTACTTAAAATAATCATAAACTTGAAATTTTTAACTTCATAAAAACTTTCATAAAAAAAAAAACAATATTTATATATTCATGCTGGTGTACCAAACATGAAACTTATTTTATAAATAATTTTTTTCTTAATAAACAGCTAAAAGTGAAAATCTAATATACCTCAAACATGCTCTAAATTTCAGCCAAAGAACCAGATTATGTGACGTTTGATATACTTCAACAAGATGAATCTAGCCAAAATATAAATCCCACGTATGTTTCCATTCCAAGCTTTCTCTAACACAACAGAAAATCAATGCCCACATTTACTCTAGTCTAACCAAACAACCAAAATATGAAAAACTGGTTTCGAAAGTTTCTAGTCACAAATCTGTGGGTCATTATCGCTAGCAAATTTATACAACTCTACTTGCACGCAATTTTTTTACTTTGAAATTTTACATATTCGTGCTTATTGGCAAAAAAATAATAAAAAAAAAATTCAAGCTGTAATGTAACATAATTAAACGTCATATCAGCAAAACCTTTCCCT